AGTCATTTGGCTCGAGTGACAATATTTTGGTTGCATGCTTCTGTTTCGTCTTCAGTTTTGTTGTTATCTGTACTGTTGGTGTGTCTAGGTTGCTGCCTTCTGAAGTTCCAATTCTGGGATACATGCAGCAGAAAGAAAATCCAGGAAACCCCCTGCCATATCATTTTGTAAGTTCTAGTTACCTAGGTGGTATGTATGCCTCTTCCCTTCAACTTTGTGAACTTCCTTGTGCTTACTTTAAGTATCACGGTTAGAGTTTTTAGTTGCATTTATTGGGATAAATAGGGGAAAGTATGTCTATTTCATCTTTCCAAAGTGAAAGAGAAATGGGATGTAAATGTGTGGTTGGAGAGAAAAGAACAATTCACAAATAAGAAATAAGAAAATAATGTATCAAAATTCCTACAAATTTGAAACTGAAATGTTGGTGATATATATTTTTTAGAATAATATAATATAAAACAGCTATTTCCCCTTGGATGAACGTGCATCCCAAAAAATGTTGGCCTAAAAATAATTGTAGAAGGAGTGTTTCCTGATTATGAGTTTGCTTTCAAGCAGCAACCGGATTGTAGAAAGAAACAGTGACTTCTTGACTCAAAATGCTAGTTAATTTCCATTCTAAGCAAAATTTTAATTGGGGCACCTGGGTAGCTCTGTCAGTTTAGCATCAGATTCTTGATTTTGTTTCAGGTCATGATCTCAACGTTCATGAGATCGAGCCCTGTGTGTGTGGAGCCTGCTTGGGATTCTCTGTCCCTCTCCCTCTGCCCCTTTCCTCCATGCACATGCATTCTCAATCTCTCTCTCTCTCTCTCTCTCTCTCTCTCTCTCGTTCTCTCTCAAAATAATAAATAAGTAAAGTTAAAACATATTTTTTTCATTTCCAGTTTGAGGGGCCTTGATCTTAAATATGAAGAAAAAATTAAATGTATTTGTTATGCATATGCATTTATTGAGAACGACTGATTTATCCAGTCACTTTGTGCTCAGAGAATTCACCTCCTTACACATTGGCCAGAAGAGCCAATTACGTAAATACTCTGGGGCCTTTTTGTCAACACTCCATTTTGAGCTTCTTTGACCAAATTTCTACAATGAGAAGCTTACTTCTGAAAAAATTGGGCAGTTCAAAAAATAACTAGAACACCCTGGTCAAGTGAAAGCAATACTATTATCAAATTGGTGAGTCTGGTAGTAACAGTGTTAAAAGTTGTCCATCATCAATGGGGGTCATCAATATTAAAAAATTGTGATGTTTGATATGAAAATACTATATTGTCCCCCAATTCGAACAATATTGCTTGAAAATCTGTTAGGTTTCTCCAGTAAACTCACAGGTGACAGACCAGGTCCGCAATGCCGAATACCAACTGCTAGCATTTGGTTTCTAGATTAAAAGTCATTAGCTATGTGGCCTTGGTAAGTGGCCTAACTTGCTGACAGCTTGAATCTGAGTGTGCACCTCTGAAAAACTGGAACTAAATGACAACATAGGTAAAAAATTATTTCAACAATGTTTGGGGTGATTTTGTAACCTAAACCAAACAAACCTAAGCCTGTTTCCTTTAAAAGTAGACAAGGATATATAGAGATCATAAAACAAAAAATTTCATTTAAAAAAGTATGCTAACTATACTGGAATTAAAATTTTAAAAACTTAATAAAATTGAAATTACAAAAGAACATATAGATCAAAAGAGGGTTAAAATATTAAATATTAAATGAGATCTTATAATGCAATGGTCCAGCACAATACATATGACATTTTTGAAGTTATCAGTAAATGGTAGCTATTATAATAAATACTGTATCAGCAAAAATGAGCAAACAACCAGAACTTTATGTTTAGATAAGAAAAATACAAATTAAAATGATATTTTTTGCCCATCAGTTATGAAAAATTAAAAATAACAATATATACTGTTGGCTATAGAATAATGAAATGAGCACACTTTATACTCTGCAGGTGAGTGAGAATGTGAATTGATATAATTTTTTCTAAAGGACAACTTGGCAATGTGTATAAAATATTTAAAAAATAAGCATTCTCTTCACTAAGCCATACCATTTCTAGGAATTTACCCTAAGCCATTTTTATTTTATTTTATTTTTAATTTTTTAATGTTTATTTATTTTTGAGAGAGAGACAGAGGGCAAGTGGGGGAGGAACAGGGAGAAAGAGGGAGACACAGAACCCCAAGTAGGCTGCAGTCTCCAAGCTGTCAGAACAGAGCCCAACACGGGGCTCAAACTCACAAACTGCCAGATCATGACCTGAGCCGAAGTCGGACAGTCAACCGACTGAGCCACCCAGGCACCCCTACCCTAAGCCATTTTTAAATGTCCAAAGATATATGTGCACATACATACTACAGTATCGATTATATAGCTAAAACACCTAGATTTTTAAAAATAATTTATACTTTAATTAGATTGTGGGAGAGATACAATGGCCTTTATGCCCTTCCCCCTTCCCTCCCCCGCTCATGCTCTGTGTCTCTCACTCTCAAAAATGAATAAATGTTAAACAAAAAATTAAAAAAAAACATATTACACATTATGATATGATTTTAAAGACCTAAACATAGCCAGTGTAAAACATAAAATGATGCCAACAAAGTGTGGTTATCTGTCTTCTAAGGAAAGAAAGTAGCTTCTATCCTAATTTAAGGCTTAAATGAACACATATATACTCACATACATAACGCACACATCCACATCCACACATAAACATACACACACGGAAGCTGATCGTTTCTATTAAGAATCTGTCTCAATATTTTCTTTCTTTTTTTTTTAAGTTTTTAAAATTTATTTTTGAGAAAGAGAGAAAAAGAGAGAGCGTGTGCAAGCAGGGGAGGGGCAGAGAGAGGGACAGAGAGAATCCCAAGCTGGCTCCGTACCATCAGCATGAGCCAGAAGCAGGGTTCCATTCCATGAACCGTGAGGTATGACCTGACCCGAAACCAAGAGTGGCACTTAACCAGCTGAGCCACCAGGCACCCCTGTATGTTTTTTTTTCTGAACAAAGCTTTCTTTCTGTATTTAATTGAATTGTATATACCACTCAAGTGCACAGAGTAAAAGACATAGCCAATTCATGTCTTTGCTTTCAGCTTGCAGTGCTTTACCACGAAGTTTTAAATCATAACATCATTTATCATAGTACTTGAATGTCTTGTGGAAGATTACCTTCAGCTGGGTAAAAAGTCTGTATCACATTTGGGTTGTATAGATATGAAATAGCTGACAGGTCACATGGTCACAATAGGTCACATGGCTAATAAATGAGTCTCAGAACTTTTTGCTAAGTCAAACTAAAAAAGCTGTGTATCAGAGATCCTATATTGCAATGGCTCCCAGTGCATCTGAAAATGATGATATAAGATCATGCCCTCAACCTTTGAGGAGATTTACAATAAACAGCCAGACGTGTCTTTTTCTGTTTTTGTCTCTAACTGCTAAGTAAGCTTTTATACATGTTGTACAAAAGCTTAATCTAAGATGCTTCTCAGATCTCAAAGCCAAGAAAGTAGTGTTTCTCCTGATGGTTTGATTCCTCTTAGAAAACAGCCATCATGCAAACCACCATGTTTCCCCTTGGACCTAGCTGGTAGGAAGAATTGTTCTCAACACATCAGCCTTTCTCATCATGGATCTCTCCATTTGTCTTCGCCTTTCCCAACACCCCTTTCTGACTCGGGGCAGAGGTAGGAAGGGACAGCACTGATGCAAGCAGGAAGAGCTATTTCTCCTGAACGACTTAGTGGTAACTCCCCAAGTTAAGGCACACTGCCTCCAACAAGTTTTCCTTTGCAGTGTGTGATCTTTTCAAAAATCCTGTATGATTACCTTCATTCTTCTTATTTCCATTATTTTACTCTGTAAACTGAGACCTGGAGAGGCAGAAGGAGTTGTCCAGAATAAAGTGATCAGTGATGGAGCCGCTTCCAGCTCCAAAATCTATGATTTATTCATTTTCTGCTATCTGTTCATCTGATGGAAAATATACTGGGGTGTGAGTTTTATAAAGAAGAAGCCATCAAACACAAATCTTCTTCCCAGCCTACTTTTCCTGAATTGTCCCTACACTTAGTCATCCAAGACATTCTTCCAGAATTATGATACAAAATAAATAATTTATGATTCCTCACTTTTAGTGCACTAACGCAATTTTCTATGCAGTGAAAATATTCAGTCCCCTAAACAATTCCTCCTTTGTTAACATGACATAGAAAAAACAGAGTTTACAATCTGTAAAAAGTCTTTTGGTGTTGGTCGCGGTTGAAGTGTTGAAAATAAACGTTTCCACCATTTCCCTTGGCACACCGAAGACATGAAGGAACTACCGAAAGCGAGGTCACCTGACTGTCTCGCACATTGCTAGCTGCCAAAGGCTACGTCAATTCCACTACATGCAACACATTTTGTGTGTCGCTGGTCCTGATGATAACTTAACCCATTAGACCCAGCAGCCGACTGAACTTTTAATAAGTATTTACTCACAGTTAGAATCGTATGGCCTAGAAATGTTTTTTAACCAAATATTCTGTCTTTATAAAAGTCAGGTAATTCCAATCTAGCGATGAGCCAGTATCATCCCACAGCATTTTTTTTTTTTTTTTTTAGCGTTTATTTCTTTTTGAGACAGAGAGAGACAAAGCATGAATGGGGGAGGGTCAGAGAGAGGGAGACAAAGAATCTGAAACAGGCTCCAGGCTCCGAGCTGTCAGCACAGAGCCCGACGCGGGGCTCGAACTCACAGACCACGAGATCATGACCCGGGCCGAAGTCGGCCACTTAACCGACTGAGCCACCCAGGCGCCCTCCCGCAGCATTTTTAAACCACATACAAACTGATTATATTCTTTTTTATTTTTGGCAGCATTATTCTTCATAAAGTAACCAAAGATGCCCCAATTATACTTCTTAAAATAGTATATCACCTAATAAAATCAGGTATATTTTGGTATTATAATCCTTATCCAATACCTTACCTCAGCTCTTAACTCGTAGATCACTCTATCCTTGCCGGTTTGAGATTTTGATTCTTCTTTTATATCTCCCGATATTTCTTTCATTTCATTTTCATGTTGACCAGGAATAATGTTAAACTGAAAAACAAAAACAAAACCAGAAGTTAGAATTATAATCACATGAGGCTCCAAAGGCTGGCTCCAGGATAATCCACATTAGTCCTTCATTTTACTTTTAGTTTAGTTTTTGTTTGTTTGTTTTCTATGTGGATTCTGGCAGGTTTTACCGTTGCTGTGATAATTAATGTAGTCAAATCATTTATTTCCTTACTTGAAAAATTCTAAGTTGTTCAAAACCAAATCAGCAAAGCTTTAGCAATCTAAACTAATCATTTGAAAATTGGGCAAAACTTGGTTACCTCACATACTCCTGATAATTGACCAACTGGATTCTAAATGAATCCAATTAACACTGATTTAACAGTCTTGGATATTTGTAACACAGTACCCTTTGTGACTCTACTTAACGTCTATTTTCTAAGAAGTCTAAAGAGTACATAGATTACAAGAGAGACAAACTTGGGCGATGGAAAAAATACATCTATATAACGCTCGAATTAGGAAAGACATATTTATAAACGATGCCAATAAAATGCAATATGGAACTCCTACAGAAAACCAGGGTAAAGAGTGGCATATCCAGATAATGTGAGATTATTCAGCACTAAAATGAAATGAGCGCTCAAGCCATGAGAAGGCATGGCGGAAACTTAAACGCGTATCACGGAGTGAAAGAAGCCAATCTGAAAAGGTTACTTACTGTACAGTTCTAATTATGTGACAGTCTAAAAAAGGAAAAAAGTATGGAGACAGTGTAAAATGAGTGGTTTTCAGGGTTGTGGGTAGGAAGGGATGAACAGGTGGAGCACAGAGATTTTTAGGGCAATGAAACTATTTAGTATGACCCTGGTAGACACGTATCATTATGCGTTTGTCTAAACCCAGAGAATGTACAACACCGAGAATACATCCTAAGGTAAACTATGGACTTGGGTGATAGTAATGTGTCGATATAGGTTCATCATTTGTAACAAATGTGCCACCCTGGTGGAGGACACTGATAATGGGGGGGATGGTATGCTTAAGTGGACACAGGGAGCCTATGGCAAATGTACGTACATTCCATTCAATTATGCTGTGAACATAAAGCCGCTCTAAAAAATAGTCTATAAAGTGAAACACAGGAAGGTGAGAAAAATCCTGTAAATACATAGTATATTTTCTCCATAGCTGTTCTTATAGTTTTCAACAGAAACACAAAATTTGGTAAATCTATAAAATGTGTAATACACATATAACATTGTTTTATTAACTTACATTTTCCCCTAAAATATGTAGTAAATGTTTTCAGAATTTATATTATATAATTTGTGTGCAATCCCACTATAAATTAGAAAATAAAAGCAAACATTATACTACCTGTTTAAAATTAAAAATAACATTACTCATAACATTAAGTATGTATTAGTCTCTAGGAACTGAACTTGATATATATTTCCTTAGTTAATGCTAGAGTAATCCTATGTGTTAGGTATTATTATTATCCTTAAAGAGAAATAAACCATACTTTTGCTAGGCTTAAGCAACTTTCCCAAATTCACAAAGCTAGTAATGGAAGAAGCAAAAGTTAAGAATGTTCTCGCTAAATTCATTACCAGAGTGCTTAATCATAAACCGGTACTACACCTATAATTATAAAGCTGGAAGCCACTGGAATAGTTTACTGAAAGGCAAAAAGTTTATAGACACATACTAAAAACGAACTACAGTGGAGTTAGGGGGCTGATTTGCCTAGTACAGAGAAGCTCCATGTTCAGAGTTAATAACGTGGAGGATACACCACGGAAGGCAAATGTGGAACAGGACACAATGCCACGGAGTTCAGTACAAGTTCAGTACAAGTTCAGTACAATGCCACGGAGTTCAGTACAAGCCTGTCTAGGCACGTTTCACCTCACATTTGTGTAAATAAACAATGTGGTATTAATCTCTGGCCAAAATAACAATAAAATAAGTCACTTTGCTAAAGAAAATAATGAATTGCGAGGGTTGAATCAAAGCAATAGTTTCTGGGTTCAAGTTCACCAAAGTAAAATCCAACTCATTCTGGTCACTGAATGCCCTTAGTGTAACTTCTGAAATCTTGACCATTAATTCTCAGCAAATTACATCAATCAATAAGCCTTCTCGTTGTCAACCGAACTTCCAATCAACTTTGCCACTCAAAGGAGAGAGGAGGCAGGAAAATAAATTTTCATACACAACAGTATAGGAAGTCCACACTAATTACCTAAAATAATTCCATTTTCATTTTTCATTGACAATGGAAAATCAAGGATCTCTGGACATACGAAGAAACCAAGAACATGAAAAAAAAATATCTAAGATTATAAAACAAAATGTCTGACAGAAAAAAAAAGATAAATGGTATACTTTAAGTTATGAAAGTAAATGTTATTAAAAATATAATCACTATCTTTGGGGAAAATGAATATTATACTGCACTCATAAATCAAGAACAGAGCAATTTCAAAATTTCAAAGAAAAAAGAACAATAAAAGAAAGCTTTTTAAATGTGTCTAGTAATCCTATCCTTTAGAAGACTTCATGAGACAAGTTAGTGTCTCAAGGCTCAGTTCTTGGACCTGTGGTCTTGACGCATTTACGCCTTTGGGTAGCTGATGTGCACCCATAGCCCTGCATACTAGTCAGAATTCTGACGATCTCCAAATTGTTCTATCCTGTAGGTCTCCTCTGAACTTTGGACCCATGTGTCCAACTTCCTACTTGTCACTTCCGTAGGTATCCAAAACTTAACACATTGCAAAGACAAATTAAGAATTTCCCTAAAACAGGTGTCTCTTCCAGACTTTGCTATCTCAGTAAGGATCAACTCCATCTTTCCCTTTGATCAGGCCAAAAATATTGGATTTATTTCTAACTCTTTTCTTTCTCCGACGTGTCATATCCAAAGTAAAAAGTAAAATAAAAATAATTCAATTTTGCCTTCAAAATATATAATAAATCCAACCACTTCTCGACCTGCACCACTACTGCCCTGATCAACACCACCATGGTCTCTCACATCAGTTATTTTAATAGCTGCCATGATCTTTGCTTCTTCAAGTAGCTCTGTAATTCCCCTTCCAAAACAGCAATCAAATAAAGCATTTTAAAAGTAATGCAGGTCACGTAACTCTGTCGCTCAAATTTTTCCTGTGGCTTCCCAATCCATTCAGAGTGTAAGTCAAAGTCCTTATCATCTGCCTGGTCCTGTAACCTCCAAACCTCATCTTTTACTCCTAGCCTGTATTCTTTTGGTCACTCTGACTTCTCACTGTTCCTACACACTCCAGGCTCGAAACAGCAAAAACAAATTAAATTAAATTAAATTAAAGAAAGATGAAAACAGTAAACAAAATATTGTACAGTGAAGGCAATTAAGACAATATAACAAGAAAAAAAGCCTGATGGCCAGATTAATAAAACTATACTCCTCCTTATGAAAACTTGAGTTATTATGATCCTTTTAAAATTATACCCTGAACTCAAAATTGCCTTAATTCTGCCACTTATTCACCTTCAGGTTCAGATTAATGGAGGCATAAGTAAAATCTAATTAGGAGCTGAAAAGTTGAAAGCTGTGGATGTATAGATGGTAAAGATTATTATTTGGAAGAATTATGAATGCCACCCACAAGTGATCTATCACATTACTTAAATTGAAAGTGATAGAAATAGAAGGTACCTGAAAAAGTGAATGAGTCAGCATTAGAAAGCATTTTCTAAGTTCAGGTCCTTTTATTTAATATTTATTTAAGTATAGTCTCTTGTTAAGACTCCTTTTCTGAAACTGCACCATAAGATAATTCCAAAATTCCTCTTTAAAATTCCTCCTTTCATACTGCAGTATTTGTGAAAGGTTAAACCAGGCAACTTGTCATCTCTCTGGCTTCAGAAATATCTGCCATAATTTGCTTCTGGAAAATCAGCAACATTATATGTAAATATTTATTCTAGTACATTCAAATTAGCATGGAGTGGAATGTCTTTTTGAAGATAATTCTGGAAAACAAGAATATTGTGTAACATATAAATAAAAATATTTTCTTAGTTATTCAGATCAAGTGGGAAAAGAAAATCTCATTTCAAAAGGGCACAAAAATATAATCTAACACACCCTGTTATTTTGATTCTGCCTCACAATTTTACCCTTCAGAATAATCTAAAACAATTAGGTAGTTCTTGCTTATTCCAAAGATCTGGCCTTTGTGGGATATTGCATTCAATATTTATGTCCATATTATTAATAATACAACATAATTCAATCTCCTCAAATACCAAATCCACCATTTCTCCCCTAACTCTCAACAAACGATCTTGCAGCTTCATTCATGGAGAAATAGAAAAGCTATGCATAGGAAAGATCTTCAACCTCTTGTAACATAATCTACAAATTTGCATGCATCTGTACAAATCTTTTCATCTTTCCTCTTGTCAAAGAACTTAAATACCCTTCCTTCCTAGAGTTAAAAACTAATCATTCCATTTGTAGTCAGGATTTAGTACCTTTGGAGTACTTGGAAAACTCATTCTAAGAACTGTCCCTCTCCTGGATTTTCAAGATCTCTTAGTTTCTCTTGCATCAATATTTAATAGCTTAATAGTTTCCATTTAGGTTTGAAAGGGAGATATGAGAGACCAAGTGTAGAAGACCGCCCCACACCTCCCCTCCTGCCCCATCTCTTTTCTGGTTTTGAACTGTCCATTCCAGCTCTTTGTTTCCTCTTACCTTCAACTGTCATGCAAGAGCTGCTGGCCCTCACGGTTTGGTTTCCACATGCTCCCCCCCTCTGACTCATTTCCTCCATTGGCTTTTGCTGCCCCCATTCTCAACACTTTCCAATATACAATATGCAGCCTGTCCTTAACTTGAATCTTTGGCAGAATTTGATACTGTTAACAATGTCTTTGTTCAAGTACTCTTTTCCTCTGGTTCATGGGAAGAAAGGTTTTTTTTCCCTTATTTTAATGTTTTATTTATTTTTGAGAGAGACACACAGAGTGCAAGCAGGGGA